ACGTTGATCAGAACTAGCGTCTCCAGATACCTATTGAAAGCTCTCACGTGTGAACCGGCCGGGAAAGGGGGGGCTGATAGAAATGCACAAATTAGTTTACTTATTACAGAAGAAACGCGGGGTGAACAAATTGGTTCAGTGTTTCACGTGGACTGTATTTTCGGTGATTTCCTCCTCCGCAATTTAGACAACTGCCAAGCGAAAGCAATTACAAGATGAAAGAAAAAACTATTTCAATGATGCAATACACAGCCAGTGACTCTGTGGAATGAGTTTTGCCAAACTTCCAAACGGTAAGTACATCACGACCCATTCTTAAACAGCACGGTGCAATTACAATCAGAACTATTCTGTACGTCAATGAACAAAATGATCACGAAACACAGAGGAGCTGTGTTCATATTTGTATGTAACCATATGTGTATATAAACATGTGTATTTCACGATGTCAGATAACCGATCGATCACATGACAGAAAACGAGAAAGGTTTCTACTTGTTATTAAGCACACACACACGTAACAGGACGAAACAAACCATAAATGACTCGACAATAAGTACATCTAAAGACACTTAAACAAAACACAAACAAGACCAAAAATTACGTAAGTAACGAATAGTAAAAATCCAAGTTCAGTGAAGCAGTATCGGTAGACAACAGAAATCATGCGTCATTTAAAACGTGCATAAGTTAACGATCGCAGTAACTCAGGATTATGGCGAAATAATAAATAGGGTATTTGTCAAATCAGAAATAAGATCACAGAACCTGGTTAAAAGAAAGGGTTAGGGAAAAGGATCGATCTGTTCTACGATTGAATGACTGACTGGGTAGAAAAGTGTAGGTTTGGACTGTGAGTCGTAAAAACCTTTTACCGTAATTAAACTGGTAGCTCATAGTCAGATCACCCTTCCCCATCCACAAAAACACCAAAAAGAGACAAAAGCAATCAGATTCCACCGCAAACTGGGGAAAACAGTCATTGATCGAATCGATAAAGTTACAGGGATTGAGTTCACCGATTTCAGCAGAGGGGCAGAGGGGCCCGGTAGTAGGAAATAAAGATATACCAAACTATTGATTGTCTGAAGTTAGACAAACCGAAACACATAAACTTGTGTCATACTTTGAATAAGTTACTGGTGCAAACCACCATTCTGATTACCAAGTTGATTTCTGCAATTTTGTGCTTTTATATCACAACCTCTCATTCCACTTCGTCAATCGATGGTCGAATGACAACCTCGTCTAAATAACCACCCAGGGATCTTCATTTCGAACCCCGCCATCGCTGCCCATCTTCCCATTTTCCCAGGCAGCCTTTGCATGACCAAGACCTCTTCCTGAAAGTTGATTGTACATTTCGATAATCAATAAACAAAAAAGGATGTAAAAACCATTTTTTAAATAAATTGTTTTTGTATGTTAATGATCTAGTAAGCAAAAGATGATAAAGCTGGACATGCAAACCACTGATTAGAGGACGAAATTCGCGTACTATAGCTTGAAATGCGTTATCATCTAACTGCAGTAATAGTACCCAAAATATTCTTTCAAAAAATGAACCGTATCGAGCAAATATCTTGAAAGCGCACTTTATTGTGATACTTAACTTAGTTTGCGGTTCATCCTTTCCGGGGATGAAATTACCACCCAAGTCACATCACCCCCAGAGCACGACCAAACCACCATTTCAAATGCGATCACACATCGACCACGTGCTTGTGTGTGTGTGTGTTCATCTACTCAAACACAACGGCACAACCCATCTGTATTTGACAAAGATACAATGTCGAAAGTTATCCCCTGGAGTTTTATAAGGTGCAATCTATGTTCAAAGGAACACGTGTCAACCGCGAGCTGTAAAACCTACCGCGTAGTTCGAGGATTACAGTTGGCACGTATTTCTTTGAACATGGATTGCATCGCAAGAAACTTGAAGGGTATAGGTGCTGACGCTGATTCCTTGCTAAATATTGATTATACCGTTGTGTTCAAGCAAATGAGCATACAAACACGTGTTGATATTTGGAACAGTGTTTAACGAGTGCTCGTTGAGCAAGCGGTTTCACGGATTTATTTCGGAATGGTAATGTGACTTGGGTAATTCCCCGACCGGACGGAATAAACTTAAACCCAACTGAAACTAAGACAACGGAAAACGATCGCAGGCCATTTCTTCGACATGGTTTACTTTATTTAAAATAAACAAAACATACTTTCTCAGAAAAACAGAGATCGATTGAAATCAAACTGACGGCAGTTGTACAACTGGGGCAGGAGCATGCAAATCTAGTGTCGATGGAGACCAATCGAATTGTCTCAAGATGTTTTGCCCGTCAATCCAGACAATGTGGCTGAATACGAAACAGTGCGCCGTTAGGCTCACCGGGTGAGATGTAGCTGCCCAAATAACAAAACTTGCTCTATTACTTCCCCAGTTAGAGTGAGTCTGGGTGATGGACCAACCCAGTCTTCTAGTAACATTTTACACTTTAAAGATGCAAAACATAACAAAAATGGCTACACTGGCACTCAAGCTATCCAGAAAAGCTTGCAACTTACCTGGATCTTCACTTAGCAGTAGTGGTGGTGAGACAGTGACTTAGTTGCTGTCACGGGCGTTCTTTGGACCCTATTGTCTGAGGTTCGAGTCCCGCCACCGCCACCGCCACCCAACTTTGGCGGTGGGCAGCGCTGTGGTGCGATCCAATACCACGTCTATCCTATCGGGGTCTTGTGTGCTTCTCCACTCCAAGTCCCGGGGCTAAGGTTACGATTTCCATCACTGAACAGCAGGTCTTCGTGACTATGGGGCTTACACCGTCTGCTATTCATCACACGAAAGTGTATAATATAAAAACAATGTTGTCTGCCTACTCTAGATTAGACAGCCTGCCACCTGGGAGTAAATCGATGCCACTATCCTCGCACGAGGATAAGGCTCTTTCCATAATGAAATCTATAACAAAATTAAATTGAAAAGGAGAGAGGGCAACCCTGTCGAACACCACTTTCCGTGGTAAACTAGGGCAAAAAAGTGCCCTACGCTCGAACTCGACTTTGGGTATTAGTATCATAAATCCATAAAGCGGTGCTCGGTCGAAGATAGTTGTTTATTGCCAATAACGGTCAGGATATGGTTAAACT